TGGGGGCAATATGCTGACTCTCTGTAAACCGCTTAGAGAGGGCTGAAAGCCCTATGAAGCGGTATATAAGTCTCCTGCTATTGCTATTGCTATTGAAAGGTTGTATAGAGTCCTCTAAATATAAAAAGAAAAATCAAAGACGCATAAAGCCAGAGAGGGTAAACTAGAGGTGGAGACTTGAAAATCATTTAAACAAAGAATAAGAATTACAATGTGGTCTCGGTCTGTGATTATTTATAGATAGTCCTCAACTTACAACTGGTTGCTTAACAACCGGTTGAAGTTATGACAGATTTGAAAAAAAAGTTATAACCTGTTCTCAGTGCTACAACTGCTGCACCACATGATTGTACTTCATATGCTTGGCAACAAATGTCAAAAATGCCCATTGGATAAGCTGGAATTGGACTTAAGACCACATGATTTGCTTAATGACAGTGGTGACTTGTTTTACAGCCATTATAAAAACAATTGTAAAATCAAGCCCAGTCGTATGGTGAGTCGCTCTAAAACAACCAAATTACCTATAACCAGAATTCCAGTGTTAGTTGTGATTGGAAGTCGAGGACTACCTGTATTTCAGTCCAACATAACTTCAAGTTGGAGGCACTTCAAAAAATTCATAAATTTGCAGATATTATGATCAGGTTTTTTTAATTATTTACATTGCTAATCTAATTCTAATTACAATTCTTTTCTGCTTTAGGTTGATTTTTCCCCTTTCAGTGTGGGACAAACTGTGATCAGATTATGTACAATGGGACTACGAATTCATTTTGTTGTTGACCCTCAGGGCTGGTTCTGTATGGGCCTGATAATCTTTGTCTGGCTTTACAATATTCTCTTCATTCCAAAAATTATCCTCTTTCCACACTACGAAGAAGGGCATATATCTGCAGCTGCTATACTATGTAAGTCAAGTTTGTCATTTTTCTTCATTCTATCACATTCTTGTGTGCAGATACAGTAGGGGTCTAGATACTCTTCATGAGATTCTGCTTGATGGTTTGGTATTGCTTCTTCTTTAATATTCGTCTTTTATATGACAAGCACGAGGCAGAGTGCCTTTGAACTCTCAGAAATGTAGATACAATTCTTCTCTGTAAATTCCAAAATCCTACTAATTAAAGCTTTCTGAATGGAAATGTATCTGTTTTTCAGGCTACTATCTATTTTCATTGTTCTGTATTGCCTCATTGTTAAGAGCTTCGGTAGCTGATCCAGGGAGATTACCTGAAAGCCCAAAGATACCAATTACAGGTACAGCTTATATCAACATGACTGAAGTTGTGTGCTTTAAATTAGTCACATGCTCAAAATATTGATCCATGTTTTGATCTGCCTCATGGTGGAAGCTGTCTTGGTTGCCTAAAGTCTGTAAGGAATTGATACCCTTGATCCTCTGAATCTCTCAGCACCTTTTCGTATTCTCGGTCATTGTATACATTTGGACTTATATGCAGGTAGTCCTTGATTTACAACCATTCCTTTAGTGACTGTTCAAAGTCATAACAGCATGAGAAAAAATTGACTGTCACATGATCAAAATTCCGGCACCCTGGCAACTGCATGTATTTATAATAGGTGAAGTGTCCTGGAGTCATGTGATCACTATTTGTTACCTTCCTAGCAGGCTTCTGACAAGTAAAATCAGTGGGGGAAGCCAGATTCGCTAAATTATGGCATGACAACTGCAGTGATTTGCTTAACAATTCTGGCAAAAAAGGTTGTAAACTGGGGCAAAACCCGCTTAAAGAATTGCCTTGCTTAGCAACAGAAATTTGGGGCTCAATTGTGGTCATAAGTCAAGGACTACTATACACATTATCCAGCGAATTACTGGCTGCTTTCAAGAAAGAGCTAAAGGGAAGAGCTGGAAAATACCTTGAACTGATATTGCTGAAATTGGAGCTTTCTAATGAGGCTGGGGGTAGCAGGATGGGCAGGGCAATTGCATGCCAGCCAAGAATTCCCTAGCCTTGATTCCTATTCAGGGGATTGTCAAAAGATTTGGAGCAATGTAACTGTAATGTTTATTGATAATTTCCTTTGTTTATCTGTCTCCTAGTTTTTCTGTTCACGTTAATATTCAAGAAAATAAGATAGCCTTATGAAATAGTTTTTAAAAAGGAGGGTTTTTTTTAAAAAAAAATTAGAACGCCCTAATGGTTTCAAAGCAGTTGGCCTAGAGAAGAACCATCTTAAGGGACAATGGCCTCCTGTCAAGGCAAGAACCACCTTCCAAGCACAAAGAGAAGAAGATGTCTTTAAAACATAATCACTGTGCTATGTTGTAAAATTGACTAGATGTCCCAGCACAAGGAAATGAGAAAGCTGACTGTTCCTTCTTGCCTTTTCCATGTAGTGGAAGTTTCGCTGCTGGACGATTGGAATGTAGGGAAAGAAAATTAGGAAAGGGTGGTTATTTCTTTGTGAAAAGGCTTCTATTGCCAGCAGTGGACACTCTTAACTATGGACAATATATTTGTGGGAGGGAAGGAGGGAGAGAGAGAGAGAATTAGGACAGATCCCTAGAGATCTTTGAATCAAGTATTGAAGCAACATTAAACAGAAGAGGCAGTATGTTATAATTAAGATAAGTGCCTACAGAAGTTCCATGCATTTATTGCATGCAAATAGAAGAAGCTTAGATTATATTCTTGATTTTGTTGAATTATATTAAAATAATCTGGAGAAGGTTCTCCGTGGGTGTGTGGGTGTATGTGCGTGCAAATTTACCCAATATTTCAGAAGTAAAGATACCATACTTGTATGGTCAGATGCATTTATTTCCTGCTTTTAAATTACATTGAGGAGCTTGCCTTCTGTTAATGGTAGCTCTCTTATTAAAGAGTAACACCTTTGTGACTTTGGCTTTATGAGAACAGACTGAAAATCAGTTTCCCATCTGGCATTATTGCTAGTTTAATGATCTTGAGTGTTAGATTTCCAAACTGCCAATGTGCAAGTATGTCATTTTTCACCAAGTTGAAAAATATGGCAACTCACAAAAAAACTTAAAATAAATCTTTATAAACATTAAAAAAAAATGGATTATTCACTATAAGCGTAATTTTATGGAAGTATTAGGTTTAATATACATACACATGAGAAACGTTTGGTCATGTTAATGTCATTCTATTTAAGTTTCTGCTTCAAATAGCTTTAACGTTATTTTAGTGTGCTCAGATGTAAAAATAAAACCATGCTGCTTGTTTCATAAAGCAAATATGGATATCATAGCTTGCATCTAATGTATTTTTGTGCTGAATTAAATGCATCCTTAAAAATAAATTTCATTTTAAAATATCTACACAGATAAATATTGGGAGCAGCTAGATGTGCTAAATATATTTGAATTTGAATGGACTATATATAAGATGGACTATATATATAAGAGCCGAGGTGGCGCAGTGGTTAAATGCAGCACTGCAGGCTACTGCTAGATCAGCAGTTCAGCGGTTCAAATCTCACCGGCTCAGGGTTGACTCAGCCTTCCATCCTTCCGAGGTGGGTAAAATGAGGACCCAGATTGTTGGGGGCAATATGCTGACTCTCTGTAAACCGCTTAGAGAGGCCTGAAAGGCCTATGAAGCGGTATATAAGTCTCCTGCTATTGCTATTGCTATATAAGTTCTAAGATTTAATTTAAATTCTGAGGTTTATCTGGCTATTATTTTCAGTGTGCTTTTATTATGACCTGTGATTCCAGTTTCACTCTCTACATGAGAAAATCCAATAGTTTTGATTGATTGCAATAAGGGACATACCGTATTTTTCGGAGTATAAGACGCACCCTTTCCCCTCCAAAAACAGGCTGAAAATCTGGGTGTGTCTTATACACTGAATATAGCATTTTTTGCCTCCTGAAACCCCGCCCCTTCACCAAAATGGCCGGGCATAGCTTGTAGGAGGCTTTCAGAGAGCTCCTGGGAGCTGGGGAGGGCAGAAAAGAGCAAACAATGGGCTGTTGTTTGCTCGTTTTTGGGCCCCCACCTCCCAGGAACACTCTACAAGCCTCCTCGGGGTTATTTATGCCCATTTGGAGGGAAAAAATTTTGGGGGAGGTTTGCAGAGTGCAAAAACTGTTTTTATTGGCCCTTCAAAACCTTGGTGTGTTTTATACTCTGAAAAATATGGTAATTTTAAGTGCTTTTTTTCTAAAATCCTCAACATTGGTCCCCACAAGTACAAATCTGTGGTTATTCTTGAAGAAAAGCAAGAACTTAGCAACAACTCTGCATTTCTGTTAATGTTATCTTTATTTCTCTCTTTAGAAAAAGACTCTTGGGAATTATGTAACAAGTGTAATATGATGAGACCAAAGCGTTCCCATCACTGCAGTAGATGTGGGCACTGTGTTAGGAGAATGGATCATCACTGTCCATGGTAAGAGAATCCTAGTATGTCATCTAATTTCATCTTTTTTAACTTCTAATTTAATTACAGTGACTCGATAAGGTTTTCTAATAATTACATACTTTTTCATTCTACAGCATGATAATGTTTCAGGAACCAGAATGATATTAAATTGAAATACAGGTAGTCCTCTTCTTACAGCAGTTCCCTTAGTGACAGTTTGAAGTTACAACACCACTGAAAAAGAAAAAAAGTGACAGAACCATTTTTCATACTTGTGATGTTGCAGCATCCCCATGATCATGTGATTTATATTGGGATGCTTCACAATTGAGTCATATTCATGACGGTTGCAGTGTCCCAGGGTCACGTGATCACTTTTTCCACCCTTCTGGCGAGCAGTCAATGAGGAAACTAGATTCACTTAACAACGAAGTTATTAACAGCTGAAGTGATTCACTTAACAAATGTGGCAAGAAAAGTCGTAGAATGGGGCAAAACACACTTAACAAATTTGACACTTATTAACGTAAATTTTGGGCTCAATAGTGGTTGTAAGTTGAGAACTATCTGTACTAATTTTGTTTTTTAAAACATGAAATATTAACTCAGTTGGGGAAGCTGCATTCACTTCACAACTGTGATTTGCTTAAAAGTCCTTGCAAAAAAGATTGGAAAATCAGGCATGACTTACTTGACGACTGCATTGTGATTTTAAGTCGAGGACTACTGGCATATGCTATATAATCATCCTCCGACCTTATTATAAGGAAGATATTCATTCAAGAGCAACTTTTAAAAAAATTCCCTGTATAGCTAAAGTACTTTTATCATTGTGAAAGGTTATAGCTGGTAGAACTGAACCACTACACATTTAGCTGACGAAGGCAAGATGAGGAGGAGAAATGCAAAGTAAAGTAACAGTAAATGATTTTCTGTTGCCCCAATTCTTTCAGCCACTAAGGGAAACAGAGGCGGCCAGGTTTTTTGACATACCTGCTTTATCATTGAATTTAAGAACCTTTGACATTTCTGCCTTCGTGTTTACCCTGTTTACCCTGTTTTCTGCAGGATTAATAATTGTGTTGGTGAAGATAATCATTGGCTGTTTCTGCAGTTGTGCTTCTACACAGAACTCCTGAGTTCTTACACACTCCTACTTGATTTCTGCCACTATTATTACTTTGAACCACTAAGAAAAGTTAATGCGGTAAGAGAAGCTTCTGTTTGTCAGAATAGGATAAAAAGTGTGCGTTAATGTATTTTGGTCCTTGAAATAGTTGCTTTTGGAGCAGGGAATCCACTACCTTACTTTCACAAATTGAACACTGCTATTACACCCCTAGTGGGCATTTGGGAGAACAGAATAAGAATCCATGAGTATTATAGGATGATCTACAGCAGGCCCTGTCAATTTATGGCCTTTAAACCACACCCTGCTTGCCATCTGTATAAAACAAGAATGTATAGGTGGTAGGTGGTAGATTGCCAGGTGTGTGTCAGCTGAGCTTCAGATTGGGTTCCTTGGTCTGCAGATCTTCCAACATCATCCAGAGAGGTGGGGCAGCATCTGACCCTTTTCAAAAATAATCCCCTGCTGACCCCTGGAAAGCTTGCACAGAAGATGGTAGAAGGAAATGGGGAGGGACCAAACCAAGAGAGAAAAAAGTGATTGAGTGGAGAAGAAAGGATGCCTTGGGAAAGCTGCAAGACAGCAAGGGAGGTGGTGAAAGAGTAGAAGAAAAGAGAAAACAATTTATTTTATTTTAGCTTAAAAAATGTTAGGTAGTCCTCGTTTAACGACTGCTTCATTTAGCAACTGTTTGCAATTATAACAGTGATGAAAAAGTAACTTTGCAATCAGACCTGGCATTCATGACTGTTATAGGTCTGGGAATCAAAGGAAAGCTGATCATACAATCATGATGTCTCGTTTAGTGACCACTTTACTTAATGATCAAGTTCCCAGTCCCAGTTCATGTACTAAACAAGGTCAGCTGTAATGTCAGCTCAATTTTGGGATGATTATTAATGAATAAAGTTGAGAGCTTGATGTTCTGCCTAACCTCATCATCGCATTCTTTTATCAAGACAAAAATTCTTATACAGTGTCAACTGCAACAATTAATGCCATGTAATTGTCATATTTCATTCTTTCTTATTCTCTTTATATTAAGTAGTCTGAAGCATTATTACCTTCCTGATTGATTACGGGACTAGTTCAGCTTTTCTATGATGCAACAATTGTCATAACTCTGTTCGTTAGGCTGCACTGCAGATAGAATCCAATTATCAATTACTTCCCCCTCCCCGATTTTAAAATCTAAACAAAAGTAATATCTACTGTTGAGTCAGAAACTTTGTTTATAACAAACTTCAGCAAGATCCAACCCATAAAAATATTTAATGTTTTTAATGTATAAATATTAAAAATGAACTTCAATATGTCCACATTACATTAAATAGCTTAGTAGTAGACTATAAAAGCTTTTCTTATATTTATGAACTAACAGATATTAGTGTAGTAGAATTGACTATAATTTACACTTTCTGCTGGAATGACTGCAGCATAGAAGTATTTGATAAAGGACTAAAATAATAGACATTTTGTTGGAAAGTCTGTAAATACTGCAGTTGTTTGTCCAGTAGGAGGAGTAATTTTGCAAGATCTCTAGAAAGAAATTATATACAACATGCAGATACTTTGGTAATTATCGGGAGTCATTGCAAATGTCAAAAATTCATAAGCTGTCATAGGGAAACACAAGAGTTGTTGCAAGACTTAGTTTTCGCAATAGTTTTAGTTGAATTTGTATTTCTAAAGTGTGTCACTGGTTATTGTACAGGAGAGGATCAGGATATGCATTGCTGACTACTGCAGGAGCAACAGTGAGGGAACACTTTTTTTTGCTACTCATATTTTGACCAAAGAACCTCCAATTTTGAATTTTGGAGTACCTTTTTGCATTTCTTGCTTATCAGAATAACAACATTAAACTGTTATATTTTCTTTCACAGGATGTTTTTGTGTTTAGACATGAGCTTGCCCTAACAAGAATATCAACATTCATGGGTATAATTATGTTAGTTGGAATTACTGGACTCTTTTATACTCAGCTAATTGGTATATTTAATGTAAGTATTTAATTCCTTTGAAATATTTTTATGAATATATTTATGCAGTGCTAAAAGGATATATATCTGTTGTTGTTCTTCAGCTATTCAGTTGTTTCCAACACTTTGTGACCCAAAGCGTATTAATTTACCAGATTTGTCTGTCAATAGCAGCTATTTTTGTGTTCTTGTATGCTCCTACTTGTGTTGTATTACGCAACAGTATTATCTAAACATGTTGTCTTGTTCTGGCCTTTAACTTTTCTAAGCAACAGGGTCTTCTCTAATAAATCCTGCCTTCACGTTGCGTATCTATAATATTTAAGTTTTTGCTTCATTATAAATACTTCCCAGAAACAGTCTAATTGTATTTAATCTAGTACTGAGTAATTTGTACTTGCCATCATAAGTATTCTCAGCATTTCACCCCCAGATCTATAGGTTTCAGTCTTTATTCATTCAGCCTTTCTGATGGTCCAATTTTCACAACTATTTGTTACAACTGGGAAAACCATACTGTTAAATGAATAACATTCTACAATTATTTGCAAAGAATTCTGGGACTAACGGAGAGACAATTAGAAAAGAATCCTGGAATATTGTTTTTGTATTTGATAACTAATGCATAACTATTATATGAATAAAACAGAGTCTGAAATACTCCAACAGATTAATAGTTGATGAAGAAGATAGCAAAATGGACTTGCCTGATTAGGCAAAGGACAATAGCCACATTTATTAGTCACTATATTTTATTGAAGAAAAAATGATTTATGTGATTTATAGGATTGATGATTAGAAAGGGTAGACTATGAAAAGAAGGGAATTGTTATCTTAGCATGTAATTTTAAGAGAGAGAGGGTAAGATATAAATACATTTATAACCATTCTTAAGATAACATTGCCTTCTTTTTCCTTTCTTATCTGATCTTTATTTTTCCTTATTTTATTTATTTATTTTCTAAAATTTGTACTGTCCCGTTAGAATTTTACTAAAAGTTATAATCAAAAAGTATTTGCCAGGAATGAGCTAAAAGAATATAAAATAATAAAAGCAGAGGGGAAAGATGCAGATTTGAAGTCTTAGAACAAATGCTTATAAAAAGAAAAAAAAGAAAAAGATTGCTGAAACTAGTTGAAGGCCATATCTCTCAGCTCATACTGCATAGCTGGGTGGTAGCATTAAAAATCTCCCTTTGCTTGCAGCTATCATACTTCTCTTGATTCAAGCACCAAAAGAAAAACTCAGAGCTTTTTGTAAATACACATTTGAAGATTTCATCTGTTAGTACCTTGGGGCCAAATCAGTTTGATGTTAAAGGGTCAAAACAGAGTTGGAAACCAAATAACAGCCATTTTGTTGGCAATAATATGTTCGTAGTGCTAAGTTCCAGCTACCAGTCTCAGAACTTTATTATAATTTGACTGAAGTTTCTGGACCAATTTCAGAGGCAGCCCTGCTTTAATAGTAATTCAAATGAGAGTTTCCCAGAGGATGCATTATTGAAGCAGGCTGATCCCCATCTAATTAAGATTGTAGGTGGCACAGAAGCTTATGCTAGAAGAAGCCATCATAACCTATAGGGGCATTTGTGCTCCTAATGATAATTATGGATCATGAGCACTTTTAAATTAAGAACCCATGATTTGAAGACAGTGTGTTTCCTTGAAGGGCAGGATGGACCAGCTCAATTCAGAATTAACTAGCTAGTAATACTGTCTTGTCATAATTTAGTTTCAATTCAATAGCATTTCTCTATGTATGTATAATCTTTATTGTCATTGTACTTAAATACAACGAAATTGGTTTATTAGTATTATTTAGTATAGTATATGTGAGAAAGAACCAGCGTTGGTTAACCAGTGCTTTTTAGGAGATTGATACAGAGGATAAATAGTTGGCGATGATGAAGGCATAACCTTAACTTCCTAGACCAGAAGATATCAACTTTGGTGGCCATTAACTTGTACGCACCCTCTCTCAGAGGTGGTATTCAGCAGATTCTAACCAGTTCTGGAGAACCAGTAGTAGAAATTTTGTGTAGTTCAGAGAACTGGTAAATATCACTTCTGACTGGCCCCGCCCACATCTATCCCTGCCTCCCGAGTCTCAGCAGATCGGGAGGAAATGAGGATTTTGCAGTAACCTTCCCCTGTCACGCCACCAAGTCATGCCATGCCCACTGAACCAGTAGTAAAAACTTGACTCCCACCACTGCCCTCTCTCCAAATAAAACTTTTTCACTGTGCTCTGATACGGTTCTCCTTCTCTTTATCCAGTCAGAATGGGAGTGTGGTCTGGAAGTATTCCAGCTATCTTTCTCAAGCCAGACTAATGTACCCAAAACTGGATTGTTTCTACAAGTAGTGTCTGGGATTCTGACCTAACTTGTGGTTCTAACACTTTTATACTTACGGCAGCTGTTCCTGAAATATCTTCAACCTGTTCTTGAAATGTCACCCAAGTGACTTAATCAGGACTAAGATAAGGCTATCTTGTCTAGGTTAATATTCTGTGTTACCCCAGGATATTATGGCTGATTTGGATTTCTTTTGGAGGAGCTGCCAAACTAGGTCCTGGCCCAGAGGCTGATCTCCAGATAGCCTAAGCACTGCAGCTTTTTCTTTTTTCTAGTTATAGAACAGGGTAGTCAAACTAATACCAATGCCAGTATTTGTAATACCAATGCCAGTAATTTTATTTCAGAAAAAACAACTATTTATTGATCTTATCAAGGTGGCGCAGTGGTTAAATGCAGCACTGCAGGCTACTGCTAGA